ATGAGCGCGCTCGAGGTGCAGGGCCGGGACACGCGGCTGGTGCTGGAGGTGGCGCAGCACCTGGGTGAGCCCCGCGGCGCGCCGCGGCCTCCCGTGATGGGCGAAATCTCCGCAACTTTCGTTCTTCTGAGCGAGATGAAGCCAGAGATTTGGGTCTGAGGAGGAAGAGGGACGCGGGGGGCGCGCCAAGGTCCTGGTGCCCTTGGCGCCGCGGTGACGCCGTCCTTGTCCTCGGCAGGGGAGAACACCGTGCGCACCATTGCCATGGACGGCACCGAGGGGCTGGTGAGGGGGCAGAAGGTGCTCGACTCCGGTGCTCCCATCCGCATCCCCGTGGGACCCGAGACACTGGGCAGGATCATGAACGTCATCGGGGAGCCCATCGACGAGAGAGGCCCCATCACGACCAAGCAGTGAGCGGCACAGGGCCTCGGCGGCCGCGTGGGCACAGGGGGACACAGTGGGGGCTGCTCAGACCGGAGGAGCCCTGTGTTGCCCCTCAGCCCATCGCTTTGCGCTCCAGGTTTGCCGCCATCCACGCGGAAGCCCCGGAGTTCGTGGAGATGAGCGTGGAGCAGGAGATCCTGGTGACGGGCATTAAGGTGGTGGATCTGCTGGCGCCCTACGCCAAGGGCGGCAAAATCGGTACGTGGGCCGTGTGGGGCAGCATGGGCCGGTCCCCTGCAGGGGTTTCCTTCGCTGATGAGTGACCATTTGACTTTCGTTCTTCTGAGCTTGCTGAAGCCACCATTGGTATCTGAGGAGGAAAGGGAGACAGAAACGACCCAAGGGTGGCGGGATCGGCCTGGGCTTCACTGCGGTGCCCCTTTCCCTTGCAGGTTTGTTCGGCGGCGCCGGCGTCGGCAAGACGGTGCTTATCATGGAGCTCATCAACAACGTGGCCAAAGCCCACGGTGGCTACTCAGTGTTCGCCGGCGTGGGCGAGCGCACACGCGAAGGCAACGATCTCTACCACGAGATGATCGAGTCCGGCGTCATTAACCTCAAGGACGCCACCTCCAAGGTGCACGGGGCCCCGTGCCTGGGCAGGGGGGGTTCTCGTGCCCGGCACCCCGCTCACGCTCGGCCCTTGCCACGCAGGTCGCCCTGGTCTATGGGCAGATGAACGAGCCCCCGGGCGCCCGCGCCAGGGTGGCCCTCACTGGCTTGACGGTGGCCGAGTACTTCCGGGACCAGGAGGGCCAGGACGTGCTGCTCTTCATCGACAACATCTTCCGCTTCACGCAGGCCGGCTCCGAGGTGCGGGCAGTGCCCGGGATCGCAGGCAGTGCCCGGGCTCGCAGCCGCAGCCCCTTTGGGGGCCGCAGGGTCCCCCTCACCCGGCCTGCGTCCCCCCGCAGGTGTCGGCCTTGCTGGGCCGCATCCCCCCTGCCGCGGGC